CTTTGCACTCGGCGATCTTTTCGTTACAGAAACATAGTAATTCGAAGGCTTTCTGCCATTAAGTCGATGATATTTTCAAAACGGTAGATAATAAGTACAAATTAACAATAAGACGTAGAATTATTTTACCTTGATATTCCACGTGTCGTTGGGCAATTTTAAATTACAGATATTAATTAATAATAATTTTTAGAATCTGATTAAATGGTGACTGAGAGTCGCCTCTCGAGTGCAAAAATGCTAGGATTCGGGGAAGTTTCGCGTTGTTTTCCATTGTTTGCGATGTCAAAGTTTGACGATGGTATCTAGTTTTAGGGGTGCGTTTCGTGTTTTAATATTAACCAGAGATCGGGCTTGTATCGTTGACCTGAATTAGATCATAATCGTTAATAAATGTATAGCGGAACGGTTTAATGGAACCACGGAACGATTATTGAGGCATCACTCCAGACACGGATAGATACTAATTGCCTATTGGTAAGTATGTTCAAACAGCAATTATTGTGCAAATGTTGGCACTCCGAGCTAGAGGCCAGTTCGCGATAATAGGACAGGCTGCAATTTCAGAGTTATCAGATGTACTAGAAAGAGTAATAATAATAAAAATTTATTATTAAAGGAGTATAATAAAATACACGTATAGCACAGTGTATTTTAGTATTTTAATATTGATATAGCAGTATTCCATAATATTATACAATATGGAAGGGTAAAATATATTTTACGATAATAGAAACGTATGGCTCCATAAAGAAAAGAGAGTACTTTGAATGAAAATTTTATAAATAATTTAAATTTATATTCTTGGCCTTATAATGTATTATATTTAAATTCAAAATTATATTTGTATTTAAATTTAACATGGTATTATAATCGACAACCTAAATTTACTTTCTTTCGTGCAATCATATATCCATATATCCACATCCAAACACCAAACAAAACCCTAACTCTCCATACAAATACAACCACAAATTTATTTCCTTTTAATTATAATATACCACAATCAAATTAAAAATTTTATGACATCGAACTTAAATTTATTTTATTTTGTGCATTCCTGTCTCCACACCGAAACACAAAGGAAAGAGCAAACTTAACCTAAAAGAAAGAAGTACCACCCAGCATACCAATCCCACTGAAAAAAACTCAAAGATAAATTCCACATTCGCCTCAGGCACATACAGCAGAAGCCATCTGATCGTTCCCTTCGTTCTCTTATTACCGTTCGCCCCAACTCTTTTCTCGATTTAACACAAAAAACCTCATCCAATTACATGAAACGCTGCACAGAAAGCCACACTCTGAACTAGATATTCCGTAAACGTCTAACCAAGTCACCGTTTCTTTCCCCGATATTCCAATTCGATCTCGAAATCACCCCGAAAACCGTGATCCAGTCGATTCTTTCGCGCGTGTGACCAGAAGAACGGCGGACGGTTCGAATTGCGCGCGCATTCGCACGGCCGGAAACCATGGGGAAAGTTGGCCGGAGGTTGCACCGAGCCCCAGGGGCAGGCTAATGCCTGGTAATTAATTCAACTGGGGAATCTGTGTGAAATTTAAATGCACCTGCTCTATTGATTTTCCTGCTCAGCGGCGATTTTGACCGCGCAGGTGGCAGCACCGGGTCGTCGCGCGGGCCGCGCGCATGCGCGGTGAGCGATACGTGTGCGCCCGCTTCGAACATTCGATTCGGTTATTCGACGTTATTTCGTCCGCGAAAAGGAAACTCGAGTGTTGATAAGCGGCTGAAGAGCGGAGAACGCAATTGCGTAATGGCCGCGGCCGTTGTTTGCCGAGAACTCGAGCGCAAACGTAACTTTTGGATGGAGCAGACACCTGATATGGGAAACCCGTGCTCCCTTTTCCTCGTTCCCGATGCGTCGGACATTTACTTGCGAAACTTCCAACGCGTTCAAAAGAGAAATGTTGACTTTGCTCGTTTGCTTATTAGCCGGCCGAGTTGCGAGCGGGTAAATTGTTTTGTACAATGTGAAAGGTAACATTTTTAATAAGGGAAAAGAGAGATGGATAGTCGTGGAAGAAGGATTTCTCGTTTCAGCAAATTTTTACCGCCGCTGGTTTTTTTAGCTTTCTTCCGTTTTCTACCCGTTTTCTACCGGTGTTTCGTGTTTCTCGCCATTTTTATGCCACGCTGATAATGCGTTTAACATTTCAGACAGTTGGATAACTAGGTGTACTTCCGTTGCTGGTCATTTCCTTCAACTTTCCTTCGTTTTTCATTCGGTATACCTGTCTTGTTGTAATTTTCATGCATTATTGGTAATGTTCTTAACGTAATAGGCAGTTGGATAACTAGATAGGTTTCAGGGCCTGTAGAAATTCGATCGAGGAAAGTGATAACGATGGTAACTGCGAGGATAGGAACGATAAAATTAAATACGTTTTACGAAAATTGCAATTATCTCTTTCGATACTTTCGATAGATAAATTTCTAAGGATTTTTGTAAGAACTCTCCATTAACGTGTATTTGATAAAACGTTCTAATACATTGTATTACAGATCGAATAGATTGCAATTGTTACAAGGGGGAAATATTTGAAGAAACAGGCAGTAAAAGATTTTTACATTTTCAGGAAATAACGTGTAGTAAGTATCTCAAGGAAATGCGCTATAGTTTTATTAAATATTATAATGGGAATTACGAGATAGCCGTGTTAAAATGAAACCATAGAGGAATTTAAAGAGCATACGATTATTGTTTGGATTATCTTATTTCGTATCAAGGAAATGTTTAGGAATAGAAAATCTTATCTACGATCGATCGATCTAGACAATGTACCTTTATATAACAGATTAATAGCCATGTTTTTGAAAGAACCCGGAGAATATTGTGCATGATATTCCAGGAACATACAAGAAGTGTTCAATTAACTTGTTTGCGAAACGCAGAGCGTTGATTGGTAAACAGTTTCGCGTAGAATGCGTGCAAATAGCGTTCTCTAAAAATACTACGCCCATTCGAAGCCAGTTCTACATTTTTCACTAGCTCCACGTGTGAAAAGTGTACCAGTACTTACGTCACAGTTCAAGCTTAGAAAATTAATTAGAGAAAGTCGAATTTTTCGAACCGGTTAATTTATTCATTGTACTCACGCCCTTGGAACGCTCGTGCGAACTTAACGTTGTGTTAATAAGTTAATTAATATGTTCTTCTATGATCGCCCATTGCGAATAAATTGGGTATAAAAAATCGTTAAGTGGAAAATTGATCTTGTTAGTACTCAGTGTGCGCTGAACCTGAAATTTATTTTTCCTTTTAAGTAAAAGCATTCGTAATTTTATTGTAACGATTCTGTTATAATAAACCCACTTGGAAAATAACGAATATAGAGTAAAATAAAGAAAATTATGGAAACTGAATTAAAATATGAAAGAAAAAATCCTTAAACACACGATTCTAATACACTGATTCATTCCTAGGAAATTTCACTATAGTTCAGATAAAACTATAGTCCTTATGCAAGGTTGGATAATAGAATTAGTAAAATTAAATGAAAATCAGATATCAGAGACTTAACATTAATTTCTCTCATCCTGGAAGCATGTATATTTCAGTTATTAAAAGAAGGAAAAATCTAAATCAGATATTGAAAACTTGCATTAATATTCCCAAAATTCACAGATTGAAATAACAAAAATATTAATATTACCACCCCACCCAAAAAGAAAAATATCCTCCCAATTAAGATTTTATTTTGTCCACTAAATTCTACAAAATCTCAGTATTCAGGAATCCCAAAAATTTGACGAAATTAAAGAACTCTGATAAAGATCAAAGAATTAAACGTTTAAAATTATATCATATAAAATTATTACACGCAGTCCAGAATTATTATCTTCCATTAATTTTCATGCTCCTTCAAGAAATTTAAGAGACTTTCAAATTTTTATACCTGACCAGCATAATACTGTACGACTTGAATCAGCAGACCCTATCAATAGAATATGCATTTCATCATCAAATCCTCAATTTTTTGGCAATAGTATTTCTTCGTTTAAAAACCAAATCTTAAATCTCTAAGCAAATTGTTTATATCGACTATATTGGCATTTGTATCATACATAACCTATATACTTTCTCTCTCTAACAAACTGATTATACACTAATTGGTTCTACTACCCGTAAATTATTATGAAATAAATAAATAAATAAAATGAACTTCTCCCGTCCTCAAAGCACATAAGTACTGTTTCGCTTACTGAAATATTAACCCTTTGCACTCGACGATTTTTTCGTTACAGGAAAATAGTAATTCGAAGACTCTGTCATAGAGTCGACGATATTTTTAAAACAGTAAATAAGAAATCGTACGCAATTTAAGGCGTAGAATTATTTTACTTCGATATTCCACGCATCGTTGGGTAATTATAAATTTTACATATTAATTAACATCCATCTTTGGAATCTGATTAAATGGTGACTGAGAGGCACCTCTCGAGTGCGAAGGGTTAAATAAAATCTAAAAAATAAAAAGGGTTAATAAAATCTATAGCATCGAAGGAAAATACACCTTCGGTCAAGATCACGTTTCCAAGAAATCTCAGTGACCAGAAATGCCGATAATGCGGCTTAACAGGCGCACGAGTGATCGACGACCGTTCGAGATCTCGTGCACTTCCGGTCTCGCGCGACATTAAATGGAAATTCGTGAAAATTGCGGCCAGGCCTCGTAAAGACGGAGAGAAATTCTTCCGTCTTCTCGCGAGTTTCACTGCCACCTTGATTCAAAGAGAAATGACAAAATAGCAGCGGAAACGACAGCGCCGCGATGGATGCAACGACGCTTTCTATACTTCCTTTCTCTGCATCACGCGCGCTACACTTTTCCTGTCCTCGTATCCAGGCAATCGGGCGATATGCTGATCCTCTTTGGCCTCCACTTTCGTAATCCAGCAATTTCCAGTATGACGATACGTACCGTGAGTTTGCCTAACGATCGAACAATGTTTTTGTTGCAGAACGTTCGCGTAAATGGTCCCATGGTCTGTCACGATGCGGCCGAGGCTAGCGCTGAATTGTAAGTAGACCTTCCTTTGCTCTCTCTCTTTCTTTCGCCATCTTTATCCTCTATTTCTCTTTCTCTTTTCTTTTCTCTTCTTCGATATCGTTTCCTACTCGAACCTTTCGAAATGGGTAATTAACATTTTCTCTTTATGTGTGTTACGCAAACATCACAGGTGTCCTCGCGATGGGCCTCTTTACCTGCATCGGTGCAATCACCGTATCGATAGACCGTTCCGATAACAAACCAGTAAGTAGAATGAACGATAACGTAATCGAGTTGCGGCAATTAGTTCTTGCGGCTGTGATTGCCTTCGCTTGTTTGTGATTTCTCTGTGAATTTCGGGGATATACGGTGCCTGACAAAATGGCGGCTCAGTCCATGATTTTCGGTCATCCTTGAGTAACTTGAAAGCAGTGTTAATTCTATATTCTGAACTTCTTTTAATTTTAGCGCCAAGAGATTCGACTGATATCTAATAAATTTTATTGGTAAAATAAATTTTTATTCGTTACTTTCCTCGAGTAATTTTAAAAAGTATGTGAGTCGACTGTAGACCAAAGTGTCTAGTTTCCAGTGTTTAAATTCTTTTTTTAATTTCAGTGTCAAAGCATCTGATTGGTATTAAATTTTTATTTTTCACGGCTCATATTTCGGTAAAAGGAAAGAATTACGTGATTAGGAATCAAATTTGATTTTATAAAGGGAGGTTAAGATTGTACGATGCAGAAGAACGATATAGCAAAAATCGACAGCGTAATAAATATTTATTTAATACCTGAGCTAACATTTTGTCACAGCCATTTTTTACATAATTAATAAGTGAAATTTATACAGGAAAAATAATTACGAGAAATCTTTTCTCGTATTATTATATTAAGTAAGGGATACATTATATGCCTGCTTATGTAACATTTGTACATATTGCTCTGGTTCCAAGAAACACTAAAAATTATAGAGTGCACTGTCGCGTTATCCCCGAACTGCATGTTAAGTCGGAGAAAGTGTGAAGGAAGCAAACTGGATGAAATTACGTTGCTTTTATGTAAAAAAAGTATGATTGGAACAACTTTTGTTTGTTTTAGAGAAAATCAGGTGAAATTAAATAAAATTAACTTGGTATTGGTATAATTTTACTAACTCTAAGATAAATAGGGGCTTAGATATAGGATTGGTAAAAAGAATTATAAACAGCATGATCTGTTAAACCAGTTCCATTTAATCTACCAATTAAATTCCTTAAATAATAACATTTCTAAAATTAATTTCTACATTACAAATTAGAAGAGTTAATTAATTTTATTAATTAATTTAATCGAAATTTGTTAGACACGCCAGTGAAGCTATTTACGATGATTACAAGAATTTGAAATTTTTATGAAAATATTTGCAATTCCTTAGAGACATCGATCTTCCGACTACAGCTAATGTAGCCGAAAGAACTCCTCCTTTTTCATGTTCGAGAGCTTAGCAAGGCAAACAGTGTCTCTCTTTGTCGAAGCTTCTAAACCTGCCAGCTTTGAAACTATTTTAAGTTAATGCATGTGACCCACGGCAGTCCATTATATACTTCAACTTTGTTTAAGTTGCCACGTATACACGCAAAATATCGCATGCTACACTATACCAGAGGTCACGGATATTGGCATGTCAGGAAGACTATTGAGTGATCCTAATACGTGATTCAGCAGTTGTGAAGTTTCTTGACTTCCAGAGGGAATATAGTGGTTAAAGCAAACACATCTTAATCCTGCTGTCGAAGCTCCTAAGAGGAACAAGAAATTCGGAAGGAAAAAGGCTAAAATAGTTGAGCAGAACTAGCAACAAAATGTCTGACTATCTATGCAGCTGAATCGAGTAGATAACTATTATAAAATATATCAGTCTGTTCCATAGTGTCAACCTTAATGTCAAAGTTACAGACACTGTCAGTCACTTCTCTCTGATCATTACCTAGATCTTTGTTCAATCACCTATTAAAATTTTGAATCTCTTTCTATTACTTTGGTACTCAACCAATTACCACATTAGAGTCAAGCTGTGCAGAATTCAAGTGCAAGGAACACACAATAGCATATCCATTAAAATACAGCAACTGATTCGGTAGTGGCTGCATTATCCCCAATATCAAAGCGTTTTCACGCCATTAAACAGCGAGGAAAGCTCGAAAATTCGCGAGGTACTTGAATGTGAAGAACAGCAACGCAAATTGCTAAATCTACCGAGCCCAATATCCGTGAACTCCGTTATAGCATTCTCGTATAACAGTCCATTAGCTCGCTGCATTTCATCCGCAAACTACACCCAACACCCAACTCCAAGAAGTCGATCTTACAGCCACCTACGCGGTCATCGATGATCGCAAACGGCTGGCGACCGCTGACCAACGCCTACGAGGAGACCATAGGCACGAACGTGTCCCCGTCCAGCAACCTAGAACGAAATGCACCGCTGCACCCGGTCCTGGGTAAGCTGCAAGAACACATGGCCGCATCAGAGAAGCTAAAACCGCAACGAAAGGGTAAACCGTCCTCCCATCACGACTACAATCCGCCTAGTATACTAGGTAGCTTCACGGTTCTCGGTCACGCTGCCGCGAAAGCACGCGGTGAGGCTCAGTCTGGCCACAACCACGCGAATAAACACATCGCTTCGGAGACGCGGGAGTACACCTTTCTGATTCCACCACCGAAAGACGCGTACCGTTTCGACTTGGACCAGCACCGGAAACCCATTTTACGAGACAGCTCCGCGTACTTGCGGCAGCCACAGTTCGGTCCTCCGCCGGTGCATCAACCTCCGGATCCAATAAAGGCGGCCACGTATTTTATCAAGGGATACACCTCGACTACCAACTCACCGTCGTCTCCAGCAGCCTCCACGAAGAACAGACACTACGCGGAGCCCTACGTGCCGCAGTTGCTCCAACCACCCAGGTACCAGGTGAAGCCCTTCGAGTCGCTGAAGGTGTCCAACAACGCGAAACCGTACTTCCAGCCACCCGGTACAGGCCTGGCCAACGACTTCGGGAAGGACAAGCGGCTATCCGATTATGACCACAGACAGAACTACGATAAATACCCTGGACAAGTTCACAACGACCATATCATCAATCCGGCCAGCACCGGGAACTTCTTCAGTCAAGTGAACCATCCTCCGCATAACTACAAGACGACTTACGAGAGAGATCCCGCGTTCCTGGTACACGAGAGTCACGAGATCAGTTACATCACTCCGCCATCCGTCTACAATCCTTTCAACTTCAGACCCTCGCTGCCTTATGAGACTCTCCTTCCTCCGGATGTGTATTCGTCCTCCACTCCGGCACCCACCACTCCTCGCACGCAAGAGCCGAACAAGTACCAGCAACAAGCCGGGGATGCAGTGCAGGATTACAAGAGGCCAGGTCAGACAAGCACGTCTAAGCAGGTGGAGAGCGGAGTGCAGAGCGAGCTGGTGTCAACAGCAGGCATCGGTAATACGTACTACGTGTCGGAGCATCAAGACCTAACGCCACCACCTGCTGCTTGGCCAGTGCCGAAGAGCAAGTATCAGTCGGATATAAACGAAGTTCTACCTCGAGTGAATCCTCCGTCCAAGTTCAACCAGGAGCCCATAGTGTCCAACCAGATACCGCAGGCTCCAAAGGTGCTGTTCATTGGGCCCCAGGCGCAGCAACCGCAGTACCAGAGCTCGGTGCTTCCGATCGATATCCGACCGGAGAATGGAGAGCCGGAATACGAGACTCCGGAAAGTATTTCGCTAAAACACTTCAACGAACAGCAATATTTGATCCAGCAACAGTTGCTGCAAAGGGATCGTCAGAGACTGGCGGAACAGGAGAGGCAACAGCAATTGGAGGTCGAGAAGCAGCAGCAGCAGGAACTGAAGAAGAGACAGGAGGAGCTGAGACAGTTGTTGCAGCAGCAGAAAGAGGAGGAAGAGACGAGGCTGGCGGTGGAGTCAGCGAGGAATCAGACGGAACAATTGGCTAAAGTCACAGAAGAGAAATCCCCCTACGCGATTCAGCTGGCTGGATACGAGATCCCAAAGGTTACCACGGACCTGGGTGCCGTGATCACCGAGCAGAGCAGCCCTGGCGAGCAGCCAAAGGTTCAACAGTCTCAGGTAGTTCATTCGGACAGAATAGGGCAGACTTTATAAAATATTTGGCTACCGCGCAACTTCCGGAAGCCAGCGGTTAATGCTGCACCCTTTTTACTCAGTGGGCTGGGATTGGTATTGTCTATGCAGGGGTTGTATCGGTTGCGGAAGTGTGGAACGGAGCGGTTTCTTGTCAGGCTTAATTTCTGGGCAAACGGAACTTCGAAATTATCGTTATTATCAGTTTTATTCCGATTCAGATCTCTGGTTATGCTCATGGTAGACCACTGAGCGAATTCATCGGATATCTTTGTAATATCGAAGCATCTAACACGCAGAACGTTCATTTCAATTTTATCCTGAAACAAATTTCTACTTTGTCCTATACCAAAGCCGACATTAAGGTACTTAAAGCGATGCATAGATAAGTTATTGCATCGAGCTTCCGTCAAACTAATTAACCAACGATCGATACCGAACCCCTATCTCGATCATCCCGCCAGAGTTTTCCAACAAAGTTTCAAAATTCCGTTGCAGGTAACCGAACCCGACTACGTGATCTCGGAGCGTCCCATAGTTCACAGTCAGCAGTACCAAGATTACTCGAAGAGCCAGCAAGAACAAGTGAATTACCGGGAGCAGCAGACTGACGTACGGCCTCAGAGACCGCACAAGCCATTGCGCGATCCAAACAGACGAAGAAAGCCTAGCACTGCGTCGTACGAACCACCGGTAACGGAAGCTCCGGCCCAAGTTCCAGAGACCCTTGTCCCGGTGCCGACGCACGTGGAGGAAGCGCCGGTTCAGACCACCACGCCGGAAACCGTGACTCTAGCCACGGTGAGCACGCAGAAGACCAGGACTCGCAGACCAGGTGCTCCGTTGCGTCGAAGAAGACCAACGACCACCACCCCGGAACCTGTTACCGTACCATCCACCGAGGACTACCTGAAATACGATAATCAGGAAGAGATAGCGTACCACGTGGACACAACGAAGAGAAGGCGAGTCAAGCCAACGCAGACGACTTACGAGGAATCCGTGACCGAGAAGAAGGCCAACATCAGGAAACGACCCGGTCACAGGAACAGGGTGAACCCTGGAGAACCTTTCGAGGCAGAGATAGTCACCGAGATCGTGCACACGCCTCACAACACCTACAAGACTCCCACCGAATCGGTCCAACCCTACAACGAGTACAATCAGTTCGTGACCAATCAACCTAATCAGCAATTCGACTACACGTCTCAGAAATTCGTGACAGTCGAAGAACAACGAGAGGACACCACTCAACCCTCGGTACTGGAATACTACACCGAGGAAGCGAAAGTGAAACACGAAGACGAACAAACGAACGACAACTACAGTTTCCATCAGAATGCTGGCGTCGTCACGAATATTCCTCTGGAGGACCTGTTTATCAGAACAGAGGGTAATTACTACGATCGCGCGACAGTGCTGTCCACCAGTCCGAGTGTGAGCACGAACGCAAATAGCAGTCCAAGTGTCACCACCACTGTCCCCACGACGACGACCACGGTGCAGTCGAGCACGCAGCCGCCACCCTTAAGCTCCTCGACGGCCAGATCCCACAAGATCCGGCCGATCAGGTACGGGAACACGACCAGGCCGCGTTTCAGCATCAAGGACTACAAGAGCCGGTTGGATTACAAGAGCAGATTAGCTCAGATTTCTAGCACAGAGGCGCCCGTGACGCAGCCGTCGCACACCAAGCAGAGAGGCTCCATCAAGAGTCAACAGAGCCAACAGCAGCAGCAGCTACAAAATGGTGAAACATCCAGAGAGACGACTGGGAGGTACAAGTACGTCTCGAGGGTGAATTATAGGACCTCGTCGAGCAATACACCGGTTCCCAAGGATCAGGAATTGGTCGCTGAGGACGGAACCTCGTCCACAACGGAGAGGTCGCACCGTTTCGTGCCGAAGAGGAGACCCATCAACGGGAACGTGTATAGGAGTAGATTATCATCGACCAGTGGCAGTCCTAGTCGATCCCAGAACCATTACTCGGAGAGCGATACGCAGTCGAAAGCCAGCACAGCCAGGCCAGAGAACGTGTTCTCCTCGTCAGTGAGGCGACGACCCGTGATGAAAAGCAGGCTGTCAGCGCAAAGGGAGAGCTCGACTGCGGCGTACCCAGAGAGAAAAGAAACGGATGCCACTGAAATGGCCGCGGAGGAAACCAGTTTCTACTCGGCAGTCACTACAGCTGGAACCACCAGAGTCGCTGCTAACGAGATCCCGGTTGAAAAGGAGGAAGCTGCCGCGACCAACGCGCCAGAGAGATCGAACGTGAGCGAAGAGCGAAGCGACACGGTGGAAAGCGAGAACGGGCCGAGTGTCGACGATGAAAACGAAAAGCCAGTGGAACCGGTTGCCAGCAGCACCGCCAAAACCGTGGACGAGAGTCAACTGAAGGAAACCGGCATCGCGGAACACTATTCCACCACGAGAAACGAGCCAACCACGGTGCAAAGCGGGAACAAAGCGATGGAAGCAACGACCACGTTCGAAGTTCGATCGGAA